GATTGCATGGTTTCTTATCCCCGATCCTATGGTTAGTTAATACCTGATCCTATTGTTGGTAATCCCTGATCCTAGTAGTTGTTGTATGGAACTCTCTACCGCAGTTAGKTTTTCCTCAAATTCCGTCAGCAAGTAACTTTGTAGCGGCCTTACCTAGTGAACTAACCCGGTAATGGGTCATGTTGTCCGTTTTTACATGTCGTCGTGACGTCTTGTAGTCGTTTATTATATTTATTGTTTATATACTATTTATYTACTCGTTATTTATTATGTTATCCATCGCCTGTCATTGTTCGCTGGCCGCCCCATTGCCGGATTAGCTCGCTAGTGGCAATTAATTCATTTAAAGATTAAAGATTAAAGATTCTCGATCCCATTTTTATTGATCCCCTATTGCATGATTTGTGATCCCTGATACCATGGTTTGTGATCCCTATGATGGTTGGCGATTCCCGATCCCTCCCACGGTTAGTGATTAACTAAAATTTCAATGTCTTTGATAATAAATGCAATAGTACCTGTAGYACTCCCAATGTACACTCCTTACTGATAGATAAACCCAAATTTCRCAATTTCAGCTTATTTGCTTATTTGTATTTCGCTCAAAAACAACCAAATTGCAAGTGCATAATAAACTTAAGAGCATATTTGAAGATGTTTTAAGCGGACAGGAAATTACATTTGGTACTGTCATAGCAAGATGAGAGTCTCCGCTGTTTCCTTGACATGATTTAAAAAGCTCAGAATTCCTCTTGATTATGCGATCTCTCATTATTTCCCCCAGTCTAACAGAGCCGTGTATTCTAGAGTCATTTTTGCTCTTTATTGGGCTCCCTGTGGTCATTGAGGTGAACTCAAGTATCTAGAGTCATTAAGTTCTCTTCTCATTGGGCTCCCTGTGGTCTTTAAGCGGCAAACCGAAACACTGTGGTAAGATGGACGTGTAGCCTTCCTGTCGCCCTTGTCAACTGCAGCACGTATTATTTGAACAGACGGACGGTGCCAAACTGCTTTTATTTTGAAAAAAGTGACATCTTTGGGACACCTTTAGGGTTTATTTACGATTGAAAAAAATCATTTAGACGGCAACTTGTCAGAACGATTTTGTCGATAAGTGCATTTGTTTGAATAAGAGRGTGAAGAGGAGAGATTTCAGTCGTAGAATGACTTGAAGCGAGGCATAGCAGAGGAGAGTTTGGAGAGAACAGAGATTGTCAATAATGTAGCTCAAAATCCCTTTCTCAGGAAAAAATTCGTACAAGAACAAATTTAGAAGAACAAACCCCGTCGGCTTCTCCTGAATGTACTTAATGACTGAACGAGGCATAGCAGAAGAGAGACTGGAGAAAGCAGAAAGTCAGGCAGGCTGAAGAGAAGAGAAATGCAGTGGAGAGSCTTCAGCATTTCAGCCTARATTTCATTTATTTGCATGACATTATGACGAGGCGTAGCCTAGRTGAGATTGGARAGAGGAAAGGGAAGTTAAAGAGTGAAAACAGACTGAGCAAAGCAAAGAAGAGACAGTACTTGTTGAATTCTCCATCAGTAAGTGCCGAAACGTTCTAATAAAGAGTAGAAATACTAGTTGCAAGTTGTGTGCCTTTTTCTTCAATTTATTCAATTTATATATATATATATATATTTTATATAACTTAACTTGCCTGACGAGTGTGGCCATCTCTGATGACCATACGAAACCAGCTTGTAGCAATAAAACAATGAATCATTCTAGTCTTTAAGTACAATTTTATTTTTTATATATATTATATATATATTCGTGACTGAACAAAAAAGGAGTTTAATTAAACATCAAACAGCTGTATTAAAGTCACGATAATTACGAGTAATTTTGTAGAAATGTTTTTTTAAAGTGTAAACAAAAAATCGTTCTATTGATTCATTTTTTCATTAAGACTAGTGCGTCATTTATCAAGAGTGACACAACTGTTCACATTATGCCGGATGGGAGAAAAATAATAGATCGGTCTCCACAAAAAGTAATGCGAATACCCTATGTTCTCTTTGAACAAAACTTAACTTTCGACATTTGAAGTTAAGAATTGATGCATACGTAAAAAGCACTCAATCTAGAATTAACATTTCCCCTCCAAAAAAAACACATAAATTAAAAAAAGCGACACAAGTATCTTACTTTTATTGCATTTTTAGATCGATATTCAGGAAGCGACAGCTCTATTCAAACACTACTGCATTGAGTTGAGTTTGACACTTGACATTTAAGAGGAAACGATTAACTGAAATAAAGTAAAGTAGATTCTAATAAACGTTTTCTGTACAAAATTAATTGAAAAAAAGTTTTTCGAAAAGAAAAGATGAAGATGATATTTGTCAATATCGTTTAATGAATTCAACTCCAACGCTGTGGGGATAAAACCGTAAAGGAAATAATGTAGAAATATAGACTCATGTAAGTCGGCGATGTGGTCTTTACGATAACGTATATATTGCGAAATTGTTGATATAAAAAATAGAACATTTGAACTAGGGTAAATAAATAAATAGTAATATGAAACAAAAGAAGATTTCTCTGTCCGAACTCTTTTATCTAATAAACTCCTTTTTATTCACGTAAAGATGTCCTCTATGGCATTGTTTGGCAATTTAGGCTTTTACKTTTTACAAATGCCAGTTAAAATCTGAGAMWAACTCCAATTGATACTGTGTTTTATTGCCGTTATAATTTTTCTCCTTGCTGTCAATTTAAGGTTACTTTAGGTGCATTAAAACAATGACACTTCCTATCATAAGCGTTGCTATATAGTTCAGTATATGTTACTTGGGTATATACAGCCTTTTGCAAAAATTATGAGAATTGTCTAAATATCTAAATRTCATAATATCYATATYCATATATTGYCYGGAACACGAGGGTTTGCTAGAATAATTCATTGTTGACATCGAGAAAATGTTTAGAACTACGGATAAGTCTGTCTCCAAAAAAAAACTAGACTACAAAGACAAGGGACTAAGGGCATCGCGCGGGATTACCCACCATGCACTCGATATTATGATATTTTAGATATTTAAACAATTCTCATAATTTTTGCAAAAGGCTGTATATGGTTTATATAGTTCAGTATATGTTACTTGGGCGTGGTCAAAGTGTAATTCTAAAAATCAA